GGAGAAGAGGGAGGCGGATTGAGGCCTCCACAGTGAGGGAAGGAGGGAGGGAGTAGGGCAGGGTGAGTGAAGGACACTATCAGGGCCAAGGGAGTGATGAACTATGGGTTGGGAGTGAGAGGCACCTGGGGAGGTGTGGGGAGCTGCAGGTTGGAAGTGTGGGGCACTGGCAGGATCAGGGGGCTGCAGGTTGAGTGAGGGGTACGGGCAGAGCCAGGGGGCTGTGGGTCGGAGTGAGGGGCACCAGCATGGCCTGGGGAAGATGGGGATTGCAGGTTGGGAGTGAAGGGTACTAGCAGGGCTGCGGGGGCTGTGGGCCAGGAGTGAGGGGCAATGGCAGGGGCAGGGCACCGGCATATCAGGGCTGCTCAGAACCACAAAGCAGCAGGGGGAACAGCCACAGCTAGACCCATATCCTGGTGAGCAAAGAGGGCAGGGGGAGCTCTGATTTTCTATGATAAAAAATTACAATCAAATGCTAAAATATAAAGGTATTAAGAATTTATTTTATTATAATGTTGAGGTACTGGTAAGCTTCTAAATTACTTTAAAATTGTAATTATATCAATAAAACATTGTGTTCAACTGATACCTATATCTATAGCTATAGCTCTCTCTCTCTCTATATGTATATAGATATGTATATAGATAAAGATAGACCCATATAGTGGCATTTCATTTTAATTGCAGAAAAACTTGGATCAGGGGGGTTAATCAGAGAAATTGCGATTTTTAAACTGAGAAAACCAGGATCCCTGCTCATGTGTAGTACCACTGAAGTACAAAGGCCATCATGCCCCCTGAAAACATTAGTAAAGTAATAAAAAAATAGCAACATATAGCATTATGAAAACTCACACAGGAAGAGAAGATCGCCTTCCCCTGTTGGATTTCTTCCCAATAACCGGGGTTCCAAAGTGCTCTGGATTTGTTAATGGTAGTTGGTCAAGTGTCTAGGAGAAAAGGTGAAAAACAAGTTGGTTAGTAATTTTTTCACAATGTAACTTCTTTACTTCCTAGCTTCAAGGAAACCAACTTCTCTTTACCTCACTTTCTGCAAAGTGTCTTTCTCCTTTCAAGCATAATGAAGTTCTCCTCAATGTCCTTTCATCACCGTCATCAAAAACTAGAACAAAACCAAAGGCAAAGATATTGGTACATGATGAACAGTTGTATTTGGCATGTTTAACTGAATGGCTTATTTTCTATTCTAAACTGTAAGTGAAATAGCTCTCTTCAACATGGTTCTGTTTAAATTCTTCTTGGGCTCACAATCAGAAAGAAGTCCGGCAGTCAAGAGTTGAGAGTAGAAAAACATTTTGGCAAGTTTGCAATGGCTTTGAATCAAACCAGGTTCTCAACTAGAACAATCTCAAGGTTTCTCGTGTCTCTTATCAATATATTGCACTACTTCAGGCCACAGATACTGGCTGCCTGCCAATTATTGTTCACATATAACATTCCCAGTTGGGTTGAAACACCCAATTATTTCTGATTTATGCTGGAACAGTCTCCCAACCTGTTTCTGTTACCATGGAATATGTCCACTCGCATACGCAGCGTTGAAATGCTGCCAGTGGGAAGAAAAATACACACAGACTTTTCTGTTACAACATCAAGCAACATGCTACTGGACACAATGAAGCACGGGAAATCCATGTCTAGCAGTATGTTCATATCTGATCTGGTTCATATTAGACATTTTGTTCACATATATCCAGAAGAAACTGCTCTCTATTTGTCACATACACCCAAAAAAGCTAAGAAAAGAATGAAGCTGTTACAATCCTGGATTGAAGTAAGCTGACACTTACAGGCAATATTATTAATACTTTCCCAGTTAAAGTTAAATCACAACTTCTTCCAAAAACTAGAATTTTACCTCTAAAAGTCTCTTACAAGTATAAATAAACTCAGTATCTGTGAGCGAGGGTAAGGGTGTACTTTAAACTTCATTAAAATGTGTATGTGATTAACTAAAGTGCCCTTGGGGTTGGTTCTGGGACTGGTTTTGTTCAATATCTTCATCAACAACTTGTAAGATGGGATGGAGTGCACCCTCCGCAAGTTTGCAGATGACACCAAGGTAGGGGAGTAGTAGTTACACTGGAGAGTAGGGCTAGGATTCAGAGATACCTAGACAAATTTGGAGGATTAGACCAAAATAAAACTCATGAGGTTCAATAAGGAGAGGTGGAAAGTCCTCAACATATGACAGAAGAATCCCATGCACCAGTACAGGCTAGGGGCTGCCTGGCTAAACAGCAGCTCTGAAGAAAAGGACCTGGGGGTTACAGTGGATAATCAGCTGAATATGAGCCAACGTTTTGCCCTTGTTACGAAGAAGGTTAATGGTATAGTAATGCATCTCAATGGTATAGTAATGCATTTCAAGCCCATAACTGGACACGGCTTCCATGTATTGCTTTTTAAGAGGCCTCTGGTTATCACTCTCACGTATATACCTTGCGATTGCCTGGACACCGGGAGGTAATGCATTAGTAGGAGCACTGCCAGCAGATCAAGGGAAGTGATTATTCCTCGCTATTCAGCACTGGTGAGGCCACATCTGGAGTACTGCATCCAGTTTTGCGCCCCCCACTACAGAAAGGATGTAGACAAATTGGCAAGTCCAGTGGAGGACAATGAAAATGGTTAGAGGGTTGGGGGACATGACTTATGAGGAAAGGCTTAAGAAACTGGGTTTATTTAGCCTGGAGAAAAGAAGACTGAGGGGGGCATTTAACAGTAGCCTTCAACCACCTGCAGGGCAGTACCAAAGAGGATGGAGCTGGACTGTTCTCAGTGGTGGCAGATGACAGAACAAGGAGCAATGGGCTCAAGTTGCAGCAAGGGAAGTTTAGGTTGGATATTAGAAAAAACTCTCTCGTGTGGAGGGTAGTAACGCATTGGAACAGGTTACCCAGAGAGGTGGTGGAATCGCGACTATTTTCTTCTGCTTACAGTAGCCATTGGAATAGGCCCACTGAGAAGTACTCTAGAGAACTGAGCAGGTCCTTCTGGATCAATGGGACTTTTTGGGTGGCAAAGTATAATATATGTAGGCTTGGCAGAATATGATTATTTTAATAATTTCCACAGATAATAATAATTTTTAAAATCTTTAAAAGATTTAAAAAATCTTGAAGATTTTTAAGACCCAGCTAGACAAAGCCTTGGCTGAAATGATCTAGTTGGGGATGGTCCTGACTTGAGCAGGGGGCTGGACTAGGTGACTTCCTGAGGTATCTTCCAACCCTAATTTTAGAATCATAGAAAATTAGAAAACTCACCCTTCTATATGATTCTATGAAAGTGTGCAATTCTGTAGAATTCTGGTAGTTTTAATTTCACATTCCTAGGTCCTGATCGTGAAGACAAGTAATTTGTATAAAGCCTTGTCAATGTGCTTTCAACCTTTCACTTATTTTTCCCCCTCCAACAACCAATCCTTCTAATTTTTACTTTGCTAAAGGATGACTTGGTACCACCCACCACCTTTCCATCTCCCAATTTATTCTGCAAAAAACAGAAGTGCTGACTTTTTGTTTTTATTCGCTAAAAGTAACAACTCCTTCTGGTTCTCCATCCAACAATTCTCTGTTAACCAGTTACATTCCAAATCCAAGATAACCAACACCTCCAATACTGATCTTTAATATGCTGATTGTGTTGTATGTACCCACCCAACTGAAGAACTTCACGTCATTCTTGATTGATTCTGTGAAGTGTAGGAAATGCTTAGACTCACTGTCAACTTAACAAAAACCAAGAACTTTTACCAGCCCACCCCAAACAAAGCAGCAGCTCCTCCACACATTGCAGTAAGATCGCAATCCTTGGTGAATGTTTAGCACTTCCTCTACCTTGGTAGCCACCTTTCCCCAAAAGTACACACAGACATCGATATTCAACACTGGATGAAAGCTGCCAGCGCTGCCTTTGGATAGCTCCAAAATTGTGTCTTCAATGGTCATGATATCAGGACCCAAACCCATCTCCTCTACCAGGCTGCTGACATCCCTACCCTGTTGCATAGGTATGAAATTTGGACAATATATGGGAAACACCTGAAAGCTATGATGTTATCATCTTCATAAAATCCTCCATACCAGGTGGAAGGACAGAAGGACAAATACCAGTGTCCGTTGCCCACAACTGCCCGGCACTATGTGGGGGGGGTGGCCTCTGCCACGAGCCCCCAGAGGCCCCAACGGCTGCTGCAGCAGCCAGCGAGTGCGGGGTTTTTTTTGTTTTTTTTTAAGTGCCGGGACACTGGGGCCGGACAGGGCAGCCATTGACAGGGCTGGGAGAGCGGGCAGGGGTTGGGGGTGCTCCGGGGGGGCTGGGGGAGCAAGCAGGGGATGCGGCCTGGCGGGGGTCCCTCCATGGTGTTCCCCCCACACATTTACCAGCACGGAGCCCAGGTTCAGTTCCCTGTGGCAGCAAACACGGGCTGCCCAAATCTATCTCTGAATCTTTTCCAAATTGATGCAGAGGCCCCGAATTAATTCAGATCTTTTAATTGGTCTCCCAATTCGATTAGGATTCAGCTGCTGAATTGGGCCAAATCTCCTCCAAATTCAATCAGCAACCAAAACTTCACACAGCCCGAATTTTTAGTATTACAAGACTGAGGCCAAATGACAGACAGCCTCCACACTAGACTGTGGCTCCTGAGCCACAAGTTTCTTCCACTTAGCACCCGAGGCTCTTGGCAGAAGTTTGTTTGATTTTTTTAACAGATTAATTGTATTATATTTTGAACAGCAGCGTGTATCACAGTTTACCTAGGAGCTGCTGCTGTTTGGTTAATGCTGACTACTCAGGTGGCTCATGAGATCGACAAGAATTGAGTGTCATTGTTTTAGAGCAGTGGTTCCCCACCTTTTTTTTACCGCAGCCTGGCGGGAGTGGGATGGAGTGTGCAGAGCCAGCTGCTTCCCTCCCAGGGCTCCCCTGCTGCCCGGCATTAACCCTGGAAGCTCAGCTGTGACCTCGGAAGCCAATGAACCTGGCAGACAGGTGGAGGTCTGAGCAGGAGGCTGTGCCACAACCAAAAGGCCAACCCGCCACCACCTGGTGGTAGGGAACCTCTGTTTTAGAAGATGCAGACTGCTTAGTTTACAGTTTTGTAAAGCACAGAAGAAATACCATTTCCTTCCCAAGCATGTCCTGCCAATCATCCAATTAAACCACTCAACTTTCACTTGTAGTGAAGACCAACAAGATCCTACCACCCAGCAAGAACATTGCATATACTGAGCCAATGGGCAAAACAGTAACCAAGCATGTAAATAAGAGGTAATGGATTTCACTAACAGTTAAATACATCTGAGGGAGCTTGTGACATAAATAGGAAATAATGTGCTAGCAAGATCTCTTTTCCTGGCTAGAATAAAACCTGTGGGTTAGAAAGTTATAAATAGCCAATTCCATGTTCCCTTTTCTAAAGTATCTGAGTGAATGTTTGGAAATTTCAGAGTTTAAATTTTATTTTCACAAGCAGTGCGTCAAAATTGCCTCTCTCACTCTTACAGCGGAGGAAGTTAGGATAATTAACACTTAAGGAGCTTAAACATTACACCTCCTCCACCCACCACCACCCCTATTGCCTAATATCCTTTGGCACTAGAATCCTTTGGCATTTGACCCCTTTTTCCCCCACATTATCAAAGCTTCAAAACTTGAATAAAGGCAAGACATCCCTTCTTTCTCACAGGTAGATCTCATTCTGCAAGGTCTGGTGTTCCTGAGCCAGCTACACAAGCATCTCAGACCAGCATAACTGCTTGTCTTTTACAATAGAGGGAGTAAACACTAAGCTGTTCTACAACCTGCAATGCCGAAATGGGGAGGGGCTGGAAGAGCCCAGGGCCCTACAAAGTGAAGTGCTGGAAGCAGAACCATTATTTCTGAAGGGCTAATACTTTGACCCACCCTCCTTTTCCTGTGTCCTCTCCATAGGTGACCTCCATATGTGGTCTCAACTATCTCCGCTCCATTCGTGAAGCCTCAAGGGTACTTCAGGGAAGGAAGGTGAAGGAATAAGAGTTCTCAGATCTCCAGCAGAACAAGCAATTTGGTTAAGAGCTGAACAAGGGAAAAGGGGGAGGGGGAGACTCT